GCACATTACTTGACACTGTCTCCAGTTTTGCACCTGTAAAATGAGATTAGCCATGAGACAGCTCCATAATAACTGTTTTTATCACAAGTAGTCAAGTGTCATTACACACAAAGCTGCAGTTACAAACATTGAACAGAATACCAAGCATTTACTTTCTTGCCAGAAAGACTTTCTAAACAAAGTTAATACTGAACTTGCTAATCAAGCAAGTTTGCCCTGCAACTACATATCTTTTGAGAGCCCATAACACAATGATACTTAAACTAAAAATAGAAGAGAGACAGGTTAAAGTACATGCCATAAGCTAAACAGATTATACCATCACATCCGTGTTCTGTCCTTGCAGATGTGGTCCAATATGTAGCATCATTCTAGTGACTTGGTAGTTGTTAGGACCATCAGGGATATTTAATATCTAATCACGTAGTTTTACTTGCATGGTTTGGTACTATTTTGAGTTTTCCACACAAGTAACTGCTCCAAAATCCTCACCCAAATGGAAACAGGATGCCACAATGCCAATTATTTCTACATGAACTATTTACACAAAGCTGGCAAATCTGCAAGTAGCTTACATGTGTGTTAACTGCAAGACTGAAACTTAAAAAAAAAATCTGTAAGAAAGCTGCAAGAGAACCAAATGATATTCCAAATGAGCATTCAAAAGAGATAATTCACAGAACTTCCAATCAAAGTGTCAGACTAGTGTAGTTTCTGGGAAATTCTTAGAGAACATCTCTGGAAGCCACAAAAAACTGCAATCATAGTCCAGTTTTCTTGTTGCTGGAAACCTGAATGGAAGTGAAATATCACAGGTTCAACTTCCTCTGAAATGCAACAGCATGTTCACAATGAAAACACAAACCCACTATGCTTTTTTGAATGCTGCTGTGTCAAAACAGAAGTAAGTCCTGCAAGAAAAACCTGTAGTAGGTAACTGATGCTTCAAGTTGAACAGCAGCATTCAAGATGGAACACAGCTTCTGTCAGAAGAAAAAAAAAGTAGCAAAAAGAAGACGACTTTACTGAGTAAGCGTGCAGATGCTCAATCACAAAATATGCAGAAGATACAATGGGTGACAGGATCCTTGCTATTATTAGCAATGCCACAGTGGTTGCAGAAGCTCACTATCACCACAACTGCTACTGTTTGAATACTGGAAGTGAAGAGGACAAAAATACCAGTAAAAATAGATTAATCTCAGAATTTGATTACGTAGAGAAAGAAAGTGCTGCAAATCAAGAACAGCTTGCATTCATCAGAAATAATGTCTTATAAACGAGGAGGTTATAACAGTGACTGATCTCAGAGTAAGATTAGCTCCCTCTACCAGGTTGCTCAGATCTTAGAGATTCAACCAAGACACATATCCACTGTAAGCAGGAGGTTGAGTTTGGAGGAACACGGGATGTTCACCATGACAAAAGGAAAGCTCATCATATATTCAGACAACCTGTTGATGGATAGACTTGCCACAGATAATCTAGAACTAAAGATGAAGTCAGAAGCAGTGAAATCAAAAGCAACAGATGTCTCAGCAGCTTGAGTAGAGCATCCTTGAAGATGAGAGATGATACCAAAAGAACAAGGTGTGAATGAACAGTGGCTCCTCCGCCCTCAGAATCAAGGGTCAAATAATGTATCTGCTTCCATCACATACCTTCCTCCCACAGTATTTAGGAGCAAAAAGAAGCTTAGCTAACAAAGCAAAGCAGCTAATAAATTCCGCTGGCCAAGATTCAGTTTATGCAGTTACGTGCGACAGAAGTCATCCAAAGCATATTTTTGCCACTACATACTGTAAAGACCCTGGCAGACAAAAATGCAACTTAGTTGAATATTAAATAGATCAGGACTTACATGTTGTAGTGAACACCCAAAGAGAATGACAAAGCCCTTTAGTTTCAGAAGCTAGGATCAAAGCCAGTTCAGAACAAAATGGGCTTTGATGTCAACACGTCACCACTCTAGCATGGGATGATATCAATAGATTTAAGCAGCAAAGAAACACTGCAAACGAGCAGCAAGGAAACACTGCATCGCATCAGTGAAACTCCTGGTAAGCCTCTCTTCAATGGAGTACACCCAGAAAAAGCTGCAAGTAATGCTGCAAAGCAGAGCGCATCATCACAGAAGGGCCTCTGCCAGACTACAGTGTTGGGAGAAAAGACCAGACCTGCTGTCTAAAAGATGCAAGAAGAGAACACCACAGCTTCAATGTATGAAGAAAAAGGAAAAGGTCTGGTCAGATCCTTGTTTGCTTACATACCAAAATAATCCCAAGCTGGACTGGGTTCAATTTTCTGGTCCACAATGATGTATCAGTGAGCCAAGGCAGTATAGGATACCTGCTCACTTTCAACTCCCCTGCAACAAAAATGTCTGCTGTCAGTTCATTTAAAAATATGTTAATTGTTGCGCAAAGCAGAGAGTTGAGCATTAGAAGAGTACTGGCATAGTTATTAAGCCTTATTCCCTCAGCACAAGGTGGATTACTAAACAAACAAGGCAACTTTATGCAGAATAATATATTTAAAAAGCAATTCCCACTGGAACACCTCCAGCTAGGTTATCTGTATCTCTAATGGCAGGATTCTGGTCCAAAGACAGTCTCATCAACACTACAGAGATCTCCTAGAACATGTCTGGTCATTAGCAATAAAGATGAATTTTACACCACACACAGACAGTCTGATATATAATTAAAGATACCAAAAGATACCATCTGAGAGATGCAAGAGAAGATCCAAAAGCATTCAAGATTGTAACCGTGAGTCACTGTTTCCAACGATGACGTGATTCTCAAGAGCCCCATAAACAAGTCATACCTCACTGAATCACAGGTCAAAGAAGGGAAGAAACATTCATAGATTACTGAGAAACTACACAGCAAAGTTACAAATAACTGCCTGCAAGTTCCTCTTCTTCCAAGGCAAACAGAGTACCATGAAGAACAATCCCACAAAAAGATGAACACTTTTGTTTGTACCCTGTGCTACAAATAACAAATTAAAAACTCTGCCACACAGGTATATTCATACTCTTAGATTCAGCAGCGATATACTCTTGTCCAAAGTATCAGGGAATTAGTATACAGACCAGGACAAGACTTACTGAAATTAAGCCTGTTAACATGACACCTGAAGAAAGCGCCATCACAGCTGTATTACCTCATGTAGGACCAGTAACTATTTCAGGCCAATGTCAGAGCTCTCAAAAAGAATGGCTATCTGCCTCCGTCCTTACCTACAGCTTGCAGAAACAAACCTGCATATATTCTTGATTCTACTTCAGATCTTCGCAGTGCTCACCCACCTGTTCGACTAACACGTACTTCGTATACCAAACATTCTTCAATATTTTGTATATCTCCACAATATATTCAAGACAGCAAGATCCTTGTGCAGAACTGACAACAGCTTGGCATAATAGCCACTGTTCAAAACACCTGTAACCTCTCCTTACATACAGTCCAGCAAGTATTAATTCCCAACACCTAATGCCAGCTCGAATAGAAAATCTAAGGTTGTGCAGCTCAAAACTTGATTTTTCTACTGTCTGAATTTCCCTGAAATCTAAACTGCTAAAGAACACAAGCTATGACTGATTAACAAAAGGAACTCTCTAGCTCACCCTGCTAGATGCCTTTCCAGTGTTTTGTCCCATGTAAATATTCTGTGGTCCAAAATCAGAAATTTTATTTTTCAAACATTCTTTAACGCTTTCTCAAATAAACTTACTTTCCTTGTTCATTCCTGACAGAATGTCTTCAATCCTTTTTAATAATATCTGTTAGTCATCCCATCAGACCACCAGTTTCATTCAACTGCATCACATGCTGAAGTTACTAATAGAGGTTTGCAGTTTATGGCATGTATTTTCCTCTGCTGTTACTCATAGCCAAAGGTAAGTCTATTCATGTTCATATCAGGTAAGATCCTTCCAGCATCCTCTCTTACTGGCCACTTAATGGAAAATAAGAAAAAATACTTAATAGATGTGAAATAACCTGTTGGGGATACTTCCAACACTCCGTGAAGACTGACTCATGCTTAGAGGCCTAAGAACTTGTTGCTCTGCTGGAAGAGTTCTCATCACACATGAGAAGATGTAATCGCTTTTGAGTCCATCTAGTCTACAGCAGGATTCTAATGACACTGTGTTGTTAAATCAGGGTTTAACTATTTTCTTCCATCTTAAAACATCTTTCTCTGCAGTCTAATTGACATTTTTGTTCCTGGGTCCTGGAAATGGTTTAGAGAACTCAAATGGTTGATTCAGCTGACACATCTCTGAACCTTCAACTATGGAACAAGCAGGCTCACAAGCTACATTGAAAAGCCACAATTACTGTTCTAGGATAATCAGGGATGGCTTTGCAAGTAATTCTTCTATGGTTAAAAATACCCCTAGCAAACCCTGCAACACCATCTCCACAATATTGCCAGTTTTTATTCAAATCCTTAAAAAGATTGAAAGCCAAAATACTCAAATTATTCTTTGACAGTCAACATTATGAAGCTAATACAAAACAGTATACCTCTGCATACAAATAACATAGTTATGAAAATAATTTGTAAATATTTATAAAGTTTTAAGACTGAATTTGTCCTACTTCAGTAAAGCTAACTAGTTTAACATAAATTACTTAGTTAATAAAGCCAATATTAAAAGCAAGTTGAAGTAACAGCCTCACTATGTCTAGACTTAAAAGGATCGATAAGTTCTAATACTGGAAGAATTATTTGTCCTTCTTTGCCTAAGCTGGACAAAAACCTGGTTTTCATTTTGGCTGCAGAAAATAATTATTTTATCTCCCCCTCTTGTAATAGTGGACATGGTAGGAGCAAAAAGCACTTGTAAAGTAAGGGTCTGTGTTCATCCAAACATTTCAAATACCATGAAATCCAAAAGAAACTCAAGTTCAAAGTGCAAATTTTGGCCATCATCTGTCACTGAACTAATAGAAATAAACATTAAGCAGTAAAACAAAACTTACTCAGATACTTGTTCAGCAGTTGGGATATCTACAGAAACTGAAAATAAAAATAAAAGATTTCATTAAAACTGTTTTAAAAGGTGGACATACACAAGTACTCACTTTTAAGTCCTACTACACAGAAATACTGATAATGCAATTTAAAGAAAGGACTGCCATAACAGCGACATCCAAATGTAAGTATTTATCCATGTATACTAGATAAAAAGACACAGTACATTACATACTCACCTTTCTCTATAACAACTTGACAAGTATGAGAGTGGCTTTCACTGAGATGGGTGGCCATGCTATCTAAGCCAGAAACACCGGTCACGAAATCACAGTTAAGACACACTACAGTCACACCTCTAGAGAAAAGAAAGTAAGAAGGAAGTATAAACACAATATGGCTGAGGATCTTGTATGCAACTGCATACTGCAATATAAAAAATAAATAAATAAAACTTCCTGCAATTTTACATGAGATGACTCACAAAAACCTATTCTTACTCTTTATACTGCAACCAGCACCTGGAAACCCCCGTCAATAACCAGGGTATCTCTGTGCTGGATGTAGTATGAAGAATACCGTTTTAGACAGAAATGCCTCTGTACAGCATGAGTTTCTCAGGGGTATTTTTGTTTCCCTCCCCACTCCCCACTTTGCACATTAGGAGTAACTGGAAAATGTAGAAGTATTTTTAACTGCTCAGGGTTAGGAAAGAAATAAGTGTGGATAAATCACAAATATTTGCCACTGAACAGAACACTGCTAGTAGAAGAGCTAATGTTTTTATTTCCCTGCTCTATCTAAAATGTGGAAGCCTAGAAATTCAAGAGGGTCTAACCACATTTAACTAATCAATTCATTATGAGAAAGTAAAACAATGATCTGTAACTGAAAAAAACCCAGAATGCTTCTTATAGATCCAAAACCTTTTACTTGGACGAGCACTGTGAAAACTAAATATTAGAAAACATTACCACTTAGTCTGGTTTTCTTGAGTACATTATTCCACCTGTCCCATACACTGTACATGGCATTGCAATTTGCTTATGACAAAGCATGAAAATAGACAGCTCAGTTACTGACCTGCGTTACTCTAAAACATGAAATTGCTGAAAGCTTACTGGCTTGTTTGTCTCAGTTCTAATTGAAAACACTAGCTCTCTTGGAAACAATGAGTCAGGAGGGTACGGTTTAACTTTGTCAGCACTACCCTGCAAGACCATAGTTACTGCTTCCATCATCAGGCAAGCTCTTGAAGCATCACGGTTGTAGCCATAGAGTGCTCCACAGGAGAAGTGAAGCTTTGCTCAACTCATGCTTCCTGAAGAGATGGCTTTAAAATGAGATGCATAATTTTCAGACAACCTGTAAGTTTCCTCATATGCAGTGCTAACACTATACTCCCACATGAAACAATCACCCAGCAGCTGAATGGAAGGGCTGCTACTGCAGAAAGGCCCTCCCTAACAGCCTTCCTTCTTGCAGTCACCAAAAAAAGGTGATGATAGGTGCTGAAAGGGGTCAACGTAGGGAGAGCATTCAGGCATTGAGAAGACAAAGAACCAAAGATTGGCTATTACACTGCATTACTGAATTTGACAACACCCAGAACAGGGGCAACAGTAGGAACAATTTATCTTAGACTCACCTCTCAATTTCTGGGCTAAATCTTCTCTTGTACAACCAGAATTAAGCACACCAATATTTATTATTTCAAGCATGCAACCAGCATAAAAGCATTGTAAACTATTTCAGCCTAGGACTTACCTGAGCATTGAAATTAATATCAATACATCAACATATAAAATATATACAAGAACTTTTAAAGACTTGGGTCATAAGTTCAAGAATTTTAGCATTCAACAATGCCAAGGCATTTTATATACACATGTATTTAAAAAGACAACTGCATTCAGTATTTTTCTGCAATACATTTGGCTTGTTCAGCACACAGGATTAACATGTAGGTTTTGCAGATTTGGTTTTACCATCAATGCTGTGTGATCTGTGACCAAATATTGCGTAGTACAATTCTAATGCTCTCGAAACTGACGCATTTATTTTCTCAACAGCCTTTTTTACAGCTGTCATCACTAACACCCTACACTTCTGACAATCAGTGGCAAGCCTCCTGCAAAGTAAGATGTTTTTACAGCTGACCAGCAGTAGTGCAAGAACAAGTATCCACTGGAGTATGCTGTAAGACATGCTTTACATGGTGTTCCGCACACGGATTTCATCAGCCATAGATGTGCCTGTATGCATTCAACACATGCAAAAATCAGATGAGGGATTAAATCTGAAACCCTGAGAGCACACAACAATTAGTCATTATTTACTATGTCTGACTGAAGTGATTATGGAAGAGCCCACAGAAACTGCCGCAAAGAGAGAACACTGCCTGAACCACTGAATTTTTAAGGCAAAACAAGACCATGGGGTGGTTTAGACCCTCATGACAAAATAAAAATCCAACCTTACACATTTCCCTGCCAGTCCTATGACAAAATTCAAAATTCAGCTAGAAGAAACACTAAATGCACCTTATATAAATTCAGGAAATAGCTGATAACTCCATAAAATATTTGAAGAGTTCTTACCTCATCATGTGATTCACATAGGCTTTGCTACAGCTAGTGTTGTATCTGCATAAGCTGCAGTGGACATAGGCAGGAAAGTGGCTTGCAAAATCTTTTATTTCTGAGTAACACTCAATGCATTTGTGAACTCCCACACGACACCTAGCAGTAATAGGAAAAAGTTTATAGTTAATATCAACACTTCAAGAGGAGATTTCTAACTTTTCTGCTTTAAGTCAGTAGCAAACTTGCCCATATTAGGGGAAAAAAAGGAACCTAAAAATGCGTCAGTTAAACACTTATTACAGGTTAAGTTGGTACACATGAAAGAAACTTCATTTTTTCTTGCATTATACTGTCATTTTGACCTTAATAAAAAAGTGAAAGTTCATGTACGCATCTGTTATTGGTCACTCCTAAAAACGAGATAGAGTACAGCAGATCAGCACCTCCAACTTCAGCTGCTGGCTCTATGTACTTGAGAAGGATTCCCAAGAAATGCTTCATCTACCACGATGCACAGAGAAAGCCTTTGGTCTTACTGTCATCCCTGATACTCCCCACAAGCTCTGAAATACACACACATCCTGCTCTACTCCAGTTTTGCTGGCCATTTTTAGACAGCTCAGCTACACACTGTGAGTGTTATCACCTTACTGGGAGACATCTACAGTATTTGTCAAAGAAAACTGCTAACTGATCTTAGCCAATTAAATCATATTCTGAGTCCATAAAACACCCATTAAATGATTAATATAAGGATAATAAAATCCAGCTAATTGTAAATAAAAGGACAGCATTCTCCCAACAGCTTGCTTTCACTTTCCCCATTTTTTTTTTGGTAGCTCCCCAAATTAAGGTATCTCCTAGGACTGACAAGATTAAACTTTGAAATAACAGTTCAAATAACATGCTAAAAAAAAAAAAAGATAGAGGAACAAAATTTTTCCTGCATAAAAAAAACCTTGCAAAGAACACCCAAAGCAATGTATTCCCCTCCACAGGTCACTTCTAAACATAAATCTGCTGCCTAAGGAGTCAGTATTCCAAGAACCTGTGACTCTGTGCACGGAAAGATTTTAAATTCAGAAGTTACCAGAACATCTGTTCTTCCATCCTTAAGTAGTCTACCACCAGCAAAATTGGTGAATGAAGATTCAGAATGAGAATCCCAATACCAGTATGTGCAAAGTTTATGTGCCTGCTTTTTCTGCAAAACTGACGCGTCACGTCTTCTGTACTGCAGTATTAGAGGTTATCAAAAGATAATACAATTACTATTTACATAGTAGGTATAAAGAGATTGTTAGTTCTAATATTTTACCTGAGATTATGCAATGCTGTATTTGTAACTTCTTTTTTTTTTCTGCTGTTGGTCCATGCATTTTGCTTCTTCGTTGTAGCTGGTTTTGATTTTGCTTTTGACTTGTTAGATCTGTTATTTTTAGTGGTTGTGTTTTTTGCTTTAGGTGATAACTGAAATGTGGAAGTGCTCGTACTAATGGAAGATGTAGGTGATGACCCTGATTGAAGAGATCCAATAGATGCTCGAATAGTCACCTACAAATATGAAATAAATATTTTTCCTATTTAGATTTAAGCTTCAAGTTCCCATTTCTATTTGTCTCAGATTAAGCCACTCAGGACAAAAATCATAGTATAAGAAACATTCCACTGTGAAGACTGCTCTGAAAAATATGAAATACCTTGAGTAAATCTAACCTCAACAGTCTACTGGATGCCTGAAAAGCTCTATTTTTGGTGGAAACAGTTAAACATGACAAAACACACTGCTCTCTTTTCAAACCTGCAAGTGTCTACATCCTGTGCTCTTAAAACAAAACAAACAAAAAAAAGTAGCTGTGGAAAAGAAACAAAGGTCAAGCCAATTCACCCTACTAAGAAAATCAAACAATCCCATCAGTGCCTGGTTTTTACAGAAGCCCTGTGTCCAGTTGCCTCATGATGAGCCAAACCACTTCCTTCAGGTATTTCTCCCCTCATGCCAGGCTTTCAAGTACTAATTCTAGCTTCTGACCTCTCACATGCAACATTATCACACTCGCTTGTGTTGCCCTTAAATTTGGTTCTCCAGTTTTCACTTGCAGCACAAGCCCTAAACTATACTTCTTGCCCATATGCATACTTTAGAAGCACATCTTCTACACCTAATTGCAAGCTCTTCAGTCTCAACATCTACAACCTGTCAAGGTCTACTTACACCAAATTTTTAAGATAATCTAAGCTTTTATTAGATCAGTAAGACCCTGAAGTCTTTGAGGTATTGTCACAGAATTAACAATCAGGGCTTTATGTTCTGCCAAGCCACACAATCAACATCAACTCTAGTAATTTTCTTTTCTGGTTTCTACAGCTAGTTAACTGTGAAGAGGTGATAGATAACAATGTTAACAATGCTGTTCTTCCTTTTTAACTGAAAGGACATGTCTCTTCATACTTCAATAAAAGATCTGTAGGTCCCAAAATCTACAAGAAAACCCTAGTCTAAAGCAGTTTCTTCCCACGAAATGGAAGGATGATTTAAAAATAGCCTAAGTGTTCCAAGGGGACTTAAGTTTACATCACAAAACAATTAACAGAAAACTCTAAGGGTTTCCCACCCCCTCCCCCCCCCTTCAAATGCTGGAGCTAAAAAAGACCTGGTCAACTCAGTTTTGAGCACATACTGTCTATGGAGAAGTAGGTCTTGCACTCTATATGATTTTTTTCCCCCACCACCTTCCAAAGGTTGAAAAACCTTTCAGAACAAACTATGCAGACCCCTCAGGTCATTTTCTTTTCTCCTAGCACAAGAACATATAAAAAGGAGGGGGCGAATCAACTAACAGCCCAAGAAAGCAGCAGCACTGACTGGACTAATGGCATATACATGTATGGAATAATGAGACAGACAAGACCACCACAGATCACCAGGAAGAAATTATAAAATGTACCTGGCAATTCTTGCAACAGCAGTAATCTTGAGTTATAGTTTTAGAGGTGGCTAAAAAAAAAATCTTTGCCTTGGAAAAGAAAGGAGAAAGGCAGTACTTTCTATTCTACCCCTTGCCCTACTTATGTTTTTCTTTGTTCCCTCTCATTTTCCTGTATGAACACTTACCTTTGTTCCAGGAGGCAATCCTTCTAACTGTTTGGGTTTCCTAAATGTTCGGTGATGCTGAGTCTTGTGATCCATCTTCTCCTTGCATGTCAAAAATTGCAGTCTGCACTTAGTGCAACGGTATATTCCTTTTTTCTGTTAAAGATGGAAGATGATCTATAGTAAGTATGTTATGTCATGATAAGCAAAACTCCAACCCTAGCTTGTCTCAACAATGGCTATCCAGTTTATAAAATATCAAACTCCCAATAGTACACAAAGCTAGGATACTAAGAGTTACAGACAGAATATTTAAGTATCTAAAAATGCAAGGCAGTATTGTTTCTGAGAGGAGGAATCAGGTCACCAATTGCAAGGCGACACAGTACTTGATAATCTTTTCCCCTACTTGACCTAGTGACAGGTTTGCTAGTAACCTCACAGTCAGAACACATAACTACAACTTAAAGAAGAACCCAAATAGCAAAGACAGAATTGGTAGGTTTGTATGATACTAACAAGTCCCGTAAAGGCTTTTCCACACAGGCAGTCATAATTCAACTGTATTTTATTGACTATTCTTATCCAGTAACAACCACAGAAATAAGATTTTTAAAAGGAGAGATTCATTACACAATAGTATTTTTCTAGTATTAAGGATGAAAAAAATCCACTTACTTGATGCCTCATGTAATGATGCATATACGGTGCTCCAATCTTAATTACTTTGAGGCAAAACGGGCACAGCAAGTGTTTTGTATTTTCATGAACTGTTCTAAAATGTGTTTCTACATCTGAAAAAGCTGAGGATCTGTAGTTGCATACCTAAAATGAAAAGTGTAACTTTCTTATTAAAAAAGTATTGACAGTAAAGACAGAAGGGTCGTGTAATCTAAATACAAAACAGTCACTCAGATACCTGGCAAACATACGGCATTTCACCTGGCTTATGATTGTCCTTCATATGTTGCAAAAGAACTTGCTCTGTTTCGAAGGATAACTCACAGATTTTACAAATTGCTAGAAAAAGTGAAAAAACAAGAAACACTCATTTGGGGTCATAGGCAGATAAATTATAATACTTATGTGTATGTTAACTGTATGGATCTATCAAGGTAAAGCGATCCAACTATTATTCTACTCTTCAGAAGAATCTCCCTTGTACAATTTCAAGAAGCCAGGAGTGCAAGGCCCTTAACATGAAATCCTGCAGTCAAGTTTTCAACTAAAAAAATAAACAAACCAAAACCCTTTTAACTATTTTTTTTCTACACATATTGTTCTAACATAAATGAGTGCCCAGCTCTTGTATTAAATCTCAAGATTATTGCTCTTAAAGTACAAGAGCTTTATTCTGAAGTTGCAAGCCAAGAAAAAGTTAGAAATCACCTAAAAATTTAAGTCACAACGCAACTCCATGTGATACAACCCAACTTACTGGATGACTCATAAGGCGTGTGTGTACTTTCAATATGGCACTGCAGCTGGAATGGGGTGGGAAACTGACGGTAACAGTGCTGGCAGGTGGTGTGGCTTTCCCAGCTTTCACTGCTCTGCTTCTCAAGCTCCAAGTGATGTTTCATGTGGTTCATAAACCTTTAAATGAGAGTGAACAGGTGCAAAAATGCATTTTAACATTCACTACACAAGAAATATCACACACAAGATGCACAGGATTCTTTAGAAGCTTTTCTCTGGAAGGACTTTTCAAGTAAAAAAAAATCTAAGGAATAAAAATTCATTAAAAAGATTATAATAAAAAGGCAACAAAGTTAAGCAAGCTGACATCAGAAATCATCTTCCAAAGCTTAAGTCCTGATTAATATAAAGAACACATAACACGTTTCAGATATGTTCCAAGACTAAACAATCTTTCACATTTTTCATGTTTGCTTAGACAAAATTCTTGCCCTGAAATAAAGGGAAGTGAACAAAGGCAACAACAGCAAAACATGTCAGCTGTTCACAGTTCACAACCACCAGAGTCTCAAAGCCACATTATGAAGCAAATATGGCTTCAGCCCTGCTGAAAACTATCAAGTAGCAAGAAAATATCTGCATTACGACATTAGTTTTTTCTCACACCAACCCCACTTGTAACTGGCAGGATTGCAGGTTTCTTTGCATAAAGCATTTAGGACGGAAGGTGAATTATGAAGGACAGTTACCAAGGAAAGCCAGTGTGCAGCCAACAGTCAAGAGTATGAGAAACTTGGTGGTAAGTTATTACTTTGTTACCAACTCGTACGCTTTACTACATCCACCAATCTGTAGTAGGAACCTATTCTAGCTGAGAATTCAGGGAACCCATGTCAACATTGGCAGGTCACGGTTACTGGTGCAGCAGCAAAAGAACAAGTTAGTTGCAAACCCCAGTACTGTTAAACTTGAAAAATGTTCTATTTTGAATGTGCTTCATTTCAGTACAGCCAGAGGAACTACTGAATGTAGGTCACACTCACAAAAATAATGTATTACACCAAGTAGTGACCTGGGAACTAGAAAAAATAAACCAGCAAGGACAACAGTCACTAGTAGTGCGTATTACCTTAACACGTTATTTCCATGGTGTACTCAACTATAGACCTTAGACAGGAAGCAGGGCTTACCCTGATGCATCACTTCCTGCTTTAAGGACCAGAAAACTTCCACTACAAGTACAGGGGTACTATCTATTTCTTTTGTCCACTATAAATGGTTAAAGGCGTAAAATATACCTTGGAATAAAAATTCTGAAGTTACAGAACTATGGAATACTGCTACAAAGATACACCAAAAATTAATATGGCTGAAAGTTGACTCGAGAGAAAGTCAAAGAAAAAATTCAGTGCTCATTTTTAATGACCTACTGCAGAAAACACAGGTAACATAGCACCAACAGCTTACAACGTAATGCAGAGTGGAAAACAGCACCCAAAATAGAGTTTTTTGAAGTAAACCCAGTATCTTATATTCTTTCTGTGGACTACTTCTCTAGATGCTGCAAGAAAAGCTTACTGGAAATGCCATAGATAACTATAAAATCTAAGAGTAAACTATAAAATCATGAGCATCAACACCTTTGAAGTCTAACAACATGCAATTCAAGGTACTTAAGACTAACTACTGGCACTTTTACTTAGAATTTACACATATCTAATGATTAATAGCAAATGTAATATTTGTAACTATATGAAACTTTTGTTCAATGACACAGGTCTAACGGTAGCATAAGCCTGTTCATTTTAACTTGCAGACGATGTCCTTTGAAGGAATATTCCATTTTTCAGTTATACATTCTGCTACTTCAGCTTCCCTTGAAGAACGCATGTAAAAAAGTACCATGACCTTGACTTCCAAAGGAACAATGACACCAACTCGTCTACCTATTAAAACAGCTTACTGAAGTTTTTTGCAGCATTTGGAAGTAAAATTATTCCATCAAAATAACAGATGTTACTTAAGTAAAGCACCAACCATTAGTCATTGTGCATCCCTAAAGGGAATTAACACTCGCATCTACTGATATCACCATCAATCCAGATGGCAAATTGTAAAATGCTTTCTGTTGCCCTTCCTAACCCCAAAGTCCTACAACTGCTCTCATTAAAAATACACTATTAAAATTTGCACCCTACTCTGCAAAATGTTTAACTTATGGCCATACATGCATAGTAAAAATTAATTCAATTCTTGTCCAGTCACCCGATATTATCGGTTTTCATTTTTAAATAAATTCTAATCCATAGAGACAAAATTTTAATGCATGAGAGTAAGCGTTATGGGCTGTAAGTGATTAACAAACAATTAAGGAAGTGAATTCAAATACCTGATGTTATTTTTAAGAACTTTCAGACAACTGAAGCACTTAAATGATGTATGAGTCTTCTGCTCCTGTTGTACCTGCTGGGTGTCACCTTCATGTTTCCCATAATAAAAGTCGTTAACTAACATAATCAATTTTCCTTTCTCAGATTCAGCAGTCTTGCTTGTTGTGCTCAAACAATCTGTTTTGGCCATTTCCTGGAAGAAGTTATTTACCATGTCTGGACAACAATACTGGATGGAAAAGCAAAGGAAACACAGGAAGTATCAGTCTCTCTTACCAAACCACATCAATAACAACAGCAATAAAAACTGAAGCCACTCACTAACAAGAGCTGGATGCGAAGCTCAATTCTGTAACACACCGACTTTATTCACATTCACATACAGATTTTGAACAGTAACTGATCTTTAGGTAGTGTTTAGGTAACAAAACACTACACATTATAAACGCTGAAAAGGCATTATACTCAAGCAAAATAAATTTAAGCTAGAAATGAGAATACCAGTGTTGCCTTAATCACTAAAAAAAACCCATCTACCTCTTTTAAACCTAATAACAAGAAAAGCAGCTTTTATGCAGGTAGTCCGATGAAAAGCATACGTTTACTGAGCACTTAATGGAAAGTTTTGTCTTTCATTTCTTTGGGGAAGACATATGTTGAAACCTGCAACAGTTCTTACCAGCATTACTGAAAATTTCAGAAATTCTAAGTCACACAGCATGAACTGTCCAAGCTTATTTGTGTCAAAGTGTAGATGAAGAATGCTGAACCCAATAGACAGAATATGAAAACACTTTAAAAGTATTAAGTATTTCATACAGAAGATGCTACAAAGTTTCCAAGAGTGAATAAAATCAGCATGTTTCAGAGAACATATCTTCTTCTTACTGAAGAAGGGTTCTTATTGTGGAGGACTACTTTCTATAAGTTTACTAGTAAGGAGTTCATTTTGTCCTGTGGAAGTGTAACTCAGTATATTTAACCCATATAAACTGAAGTAAAGTTTTCATTACATCATAGTAAGTAAGCCCACTTCTTTAATGGTTCTTTCATTTGGTTGATGCCCACAGTGCAAAAGCTATTCTCTACGATTAATGATTTAAGATAGAACATAAAAATTTAAGACTGCAAGACATTGAGCATTTGGGCTCTGGTTGCTCCTAGCCAGAAGCCAGACTATCTTCATATTAAAACATGGCACTCTTTCACAATCAAACCTAAGCCCACAAATGTTTCTTCTAATGTTTACCAGCTGCAAAATAACTTACCTTCATATGATTTTTTAGAGGATCCATAAGATTGAAATGAATATTGCACTTGGGACAAGCTCGAGGAAAAGGTCCGCCGTTTTTAATGGTGCTTGACACAGCATTTGTACCTGTAAAATTTAAAACACGTTAAGATTCAGAACTCACATGCAGAATACTCAAGTTATTATTTGTTATTTTAGTAAAATATGCAATTTCAAATGGAAACTATTACAACTGATGTAGCCATAGTAACCAGAGGCAAGGTTTTACAACCACCTTGTAACTAGACTTCCTTTTTTCAAAACTGATTTTGAATTTGTTCTGTTTGATACAGACCTACAGACAACTCTTACAAGATCTTAGCAACAAATACAGGAAAAAATGGAAGGAGGTATAAGTAGCATGGTAGAGACAAAGCATTAATTCTGTGCACCATCACCCCAGCCCCAGATAAGACTGATTTCTCGATATTTTTAAGAACTTGAAAACCTGAACAGACATGCAAAACTAGTTTTATACCACAGCCTGATCATCACCACAATAGGGTTCAGATAACTGGTTCTCAAAGGGAATATCACCATCTGGTTCTCAACGATGAGAGTATCTCTCCCTGGACAGTTGTTGGAACCTAGGCCTACTCAAATGCATCATTTCTGTTGAGCAAAGGTGTCTTTGGAGAACCTGGAGAATAAAACCTCCATGTAATTTCCCCCACTAATGAAATGAAACAATATTTCTCTTATCAACAGAAAATGATTAATACCTTTTGAGCACAAAACAAGAAAGCTTTGTATGAGCTTAAATTTTAACTAACAAACCCAGGCTTCCATTATTCAAACTGTCAAAAAACATCTCTGCAAGAGCTACTTTTCCAGCTGAAGTTCTCTTGCATTCTCATGTCATCCACAGTTCTGCAGGACTCCATGCTGACTAAGGGGTTTAGAAGAGGTTAAACCCAAGAAGAGTTTTAAGAAACATCTCAACTGTGGAGTGAACTCTAGCCTGCCAAACCTATGAAATAATATAACAAACACAAATACATCCAACTTATAAGAAGGCAATGAGTATGTGCTTGAGTTGAGATGACCATGCAACAACATTATATGTTCTCCCCCCCACCCCAAAAATGGTCTTGCATAGTCCATAAAGTAGACAATGGACCAAACAGTATTTTCCGTGAAGATGACTATTGCTAAGAACCATAATTAAGCAGAAAGTCCTTCACATGAGTGGATGGCCATGGAAGAGATGTACCACAAGACAGTACTGCAATTCTTCACTGTCACAGTTTGCAAAGCAATTTGACATATCACAGCAAAGTGCAAGCTGAGGTGGCAAAAAAACAGGTTGTGCAGCAAGATCTACTGTTTTGCAGTACGTCAGTGCTGGATCCTGTGGCAGATTAGGCATTGCTATGCTAGCATGGGGCAGCTTAGAGACAAACTTATAAAAATAAGGTGCTTTGTGAGTATGATCTACTCCTTTGTTACTGCACTTCCTAAGATCCTCCTGTTATCTTTTGCCTATTATAGGCAGCAGCACAACATGTTTTACCCAACACAGGGTAGGGGAAATTTTTTTGTTGCAATATTTCATGCTATAGCCACTTCCTTCTGGCTGCTGGGGAAGAGTCTCATGGCAAACCAACTGCAAATAACACATACAAACCCCCCAAACAGCAGCACCACACTATAGGTAGCTCCTCATTTTAACATTATAGAAGAGGATATGTGGTTGGAAATACCTGCAAGTCAGTAATAAATCCTTATCGGTTACAATGAACTGGAAAGCACATCTTCACTCAAGAGGAAAATGTTACTATATTATTAATATGCTAAAAACAGCCAGTCTACCTCTCTTCTAGCACAGAGTCTTTCTGAGAACATCCTCTCTTGGAAACTTATATCCACCTCCTCCTTTACCAGTACTACTTTAAACTGTATCAAAAACAGTGCTGTGAAAGAAAGGAGGGGACTGCAAAACACACTTTGCAATAGTCAAAGTACAGAATCACAGATGAATTTAGGTTCGACCTGTGGAGGTGTTTTTGTCCCACCTCCCACTCAAAGCAAGAACAACCTTATCAGAATGCTCAGAGCTGTGTCCAGTCAACTGCTGAATACCTCCAAGGATGGAGATTGCACAACCTGAGACCTTACTGCCTTACCTGACATTCCTAAAATTATTTGGTTTCCCTTCTTCCTTTCATCTAATTAGAATTAGTTGATAAATCCCACAGTCACAGAATTCTTTCACTCTTGATTTTTTTTTTTTTTAAAGAGTCTTAACTCTCTAACTCAGTTCCTTGGCATAAAAACCTGAACCAGGATTATTAGGTCAGGGGCATTTATTTTGATTATCTCTCTTTATAGCCACTTAAAAGCTTCACTCATCATTGCTTTATAGAATTAAAGCATACCTACTGTACTACAAATTCCTATAATTTGACTAGGCAAATTTGACTAGAGTGTATTAATTTGTAAAGGTATATAAATCTTTGAATAGAAAGGTTGTTTTTTTTATTTTAAGGCATAAGAACAGAGCTTATTTACATTGCCTTAATAGCATTAATAATACTGATGAACTCAATTTCAAGAGCACTAGCTTTTTGCATGGAACAGCACGGATTGACAGCTAGACCGTTTGCTCTACCCTCCGTTTTGAAGATACATTTTGTGACAGTGTTACTGTTGGAGAGTTAACTGTAGGTGAAACAGGTGAACTGCTTCAAGCAACCTCACTAGGCTCGGCCTTTTTTGGAGTTACACTGTTGCTTCCGAAGTAGCCAGACATTCAGTTACAAAACCACAAAAACACTCTCATTCATACTTACAGTGGTTTAAAGAACCTCAGGTTTTTCCACAGTATATCACCCAACATATTACTGATGCCTACACTTCAACAGATGGACAAGTTTACATAAAGCACGGAAGACTTCCCTAAAAGAATATGCCATACAGAAGTTAAGGAAACAATATCCAACTCAGACTGAATGTTCTAAGGCCCATGGAGAAGAAAAGAGTAAATGCAAAGAATAAAAATAAGGTACAACCCACTAAATCATATAATGGCCACCTGAATTTATCTGGCCTATTTTTCCACAGCTTGACCCACACTTATCTGAGACAAGGTGAGTTCACAGTCATAAAGTTAAGCTACACAGCTGGTTTCTGCAATGTCCACTATTTGGAGCAACTTTTGCCCTTCTGATTAAAGATGTCTTTTTTTCTGGACCTATGTCAATGCTGGTGTAGTTTGTTATTTAACTCTGTACAAACAGTTGAGACATCAGTTTGTGTGCAAAGTGAAAACTGTATTGTAACTTCCAATGACCAATCACAGCCCACCTATTTGCTCTCTTCCGAAAAAACACTTAATTCGGTTATTGTTTGCAGTATTTCTTCTAGAAAAAGAAAATAACCACAAAATAACTTGGATATTCAGAGGTTTGGTGCCTGATTAACACACCTATCAGTACTTGGCTCCATCTTGTCCTAAAACCCATGTCTCTGTCACTGTAAGATGACTCTTAACAATGTTATCTCAATATTGAGATCAGTCCTCAAGCACATCAGAAAGAGCACTGCTCCATACCAAGTCTGAAGTGCCAGCACCAGCCTTGTAAATCTCTCACAATCAGAGACTGCAAATAGCCTCAAGACTACAATAAACTGTGACAAGGACCAGACTTAAGTTCCAGACACAATGATCTGAACTAAGGACTTTTTTGTATATTCCCCTCCCACCCGTCTAGGTGCTGCAATGATTTCTTTGGGTGTAATAAAAAGCTGAGTTAGTGTCTTAAAGTTTTCTGAACAAGCAGAGACAACTTGTGTCACAAAATTATTCAAACTTCTTCTGAGAAACATTAAACGAACCCCTCCCACCCCCAAAATGTGTTTACTCAGGAGTAACTATCTACACCTAGCACACAGACTGGATAGTCTCCCCATTCAACTCACAGAGACCAGGAATCCTGACAGTAAAAGCTGGATTTGAGCATCTTGGAGAATTTACCATACTATCCCACATATACAGGTGTCGTGGTTTAACTCCAGCCAGCAAAATACCATGGAGCTGCTCTCACACTTCTCCCTCACCTCCTCCAACCAAGGGAGCAAATGACATGAAAAAGATAAAGAGCTCATAAAATTGAGATAAGAACTACTTACTAACTGAACATAAATTAGTAATAAGTATATGAGAATATATCAAAATTTACTAATAATAACTAATAAAATAGCATGAACTAAAACATGATACAAGTACTCACCATCCACTGACTGATGCAGTCAGGTCCTGGTAAGTGACAGTCAGAGCCTGACAGCAATTGCAGCAGACTCCGAGAGCGCCCCATGAGTGATAGCGTGACCGGGAAAACCAACCTACCCACCAACTCACTAACGAACCAGCAAGCTAAGGAGTTGGCAGGCAGCTAACAAAGGAGTGAGAGGAGTTCAGAAGGTAACAGAAGCGTTAATGGTCCCCAAGCCCACTCCCTGCTTATGTACTGAGCATGACATGCTATGGAATTAAATACACACTCTGTCAGTCTGGGCCAGCTGTCTGAACTGTTTCCCCCCACAATGCTTGTACTGAGAAAGCTGGGAATGCAGATGCAGTATCAGAAGCTGAAAGACCTTGAATTTGGTGCAAGCACTCCCCAGAACCAACTGAAGAGACATCTTATCAGTACTTGTCTTGGGGTAAATCCAGAAACAGCTTCATACCAGCCCCTATGAAGAAAGGTAACTTTTCTTGACTAAAACCAGAACAACAGGAAAAAATATTCACTCGTTATACAAGTATTTAATCATCCTATTGCTCTCCTTTAGGGCATACCTTTCCTTCTTTCTGACATAAATTAACATTAAGCTCAAATGCCTCACATTTAAGACAATTTATATATTATTTGCCTAGGGTAATTAACACATTCACAAAATAAACAGGTTATTCATTAGATACTCCTACTTCCTAGGGTTTTTAATTTACTTATACTTGCATTGTTAGGTATATGAGCTGGTTACACTGCCATGCATCTCTATCAGCAAAGGCTTCCATACAGCTGGTATGACCTTTGCATTTCTCTGTATCCCTGAGGCTACTAGAGCGCCAAGACATCAACCTACAGTAGG